ACAACTTCCTACTACTTATGCTGATTATATCTCTAACGTCACGCTTACATCTGTCACATAAGCTCACGCACTTATTTTAAGTCCATATTGAATACTCCAAATATAATTATATTAAAAAATTAAAAAAAACTATCTCGTACCGCTTTCATCAATAGGGTAGTATTACATGCTAATAAATGTCTTTTCAGGACGTTCAGCACACATACTTTTTTTTTTATAGATATTTAAACATCGAATGCGTATTTGAAATCGCATTAAAGATATCTAGAAAAATCGCAAATCGTTAATGTTCTTTTTTCATATCTTTAATTTTAAAACATCGCCATTTAATATGTAACCTTATGGAAAAATCACTAAAAATTGTATTTATATGATTTGTTGAAGTCTCTTATTTTTTTTGTACGTAAGATTACTTTTCGATGCATCTATTTATTTTTTAATCGATCTACAAGTTGTTTTTTTTCAATAACTCACGAATAAAGAAGTCGAGTATGCGTAAAAGCGTGTATGTAAGTACATTCCAGTGAAAAAAAATATTTTCAGCGTTGTTGCGTTTATTTGCGGTATCATTACCTCTGCAAAATTTTCTTCCATTAACTGTGATGAACTTCCTTAAGTCTCAAAATTACCTTAATCACAAATGAAAGAATTGTGAGAAAACGATACGCAACAAATATCACTTAATGTATTTATAGAATACAATAGAAATGCTTAAAAAAATTTTGAAAATTTTGAAAAAAACTGAGAAAATTGTATGAATAATTATTTATCTATTTGTTTATTGTAAAAGTAAAAAAATTAACGATAAGTAAATAAATATTTATTCGTACGTAAGAATGCTTCTCTGCTAAAATATATTAATTTCTAAGTTAAAAAAAAAATCATGTAACTACATAAATTAGTTCATTAAATAAACAATTTATTCATAAATCAAACCTGATTAAATAATGAATAGTAAATAAATATTTTAATTAAAAATAAGTTACGAACCATATTATGACGAGAAGTAATCGAGCTTTTAGTTTCAGGATTGCTCATAGGAGAGTGGGTAAGGGCCTCGATTTGGGTGTAGAAGATTGCGGGTTCAAGTCTCGACAAAAGTGTTGATTTACTCTTGGGCATAAGGCGCCTATAGAAATATAATTTTGGAGATTTTGGAGACACAAAAATAGAGAACTTAAAGCTAGAAATGAAAGCTAGAAAAATGTTTACCTGCAAATATTCTTTCTCAAAAAAAAAAAAAAAAAAAAAAAACATGAATTATTAACTCACATACGTGTAAATACTATTGCAATAAAACAAAGATAAAAATCTAAATGTAAAAAAAGTATTGTGTAGGAGAAGTCCATGATATAAGATCTTTTTTAAAGAACACAGATACAGTGAGATATGCCCATCTTGACAATTTAAAAAAAAAAAAAAAATGGTTAGGTAAGAATCTGCAATAATTTTAAAGTCACATCAAAGCCGCAGATGAACATTGATAGATACCTGATTCCTCGCATTAAAGATGTTCTGGCTCCGTTAAAAGGCCATGTAGTTCAATCTTAGTTAGACTCAACGCAAGCATACCAACATATGAAACTAAATAGATTTAGCGTACGGTATTGCTTTGGCACTAGGTTGGTTTCAACGTGAAATAGAAAAATTTTTATCGGAAATTGAAGGAGTTGGTGTATTTTTGATGACATTCGCGTAGGTGGTCTAAATCAAGATTGACATGATAAGCATTGAAAACAAGTTTTAATGCGATGCAAAAGGGTAAGATTATCTTAAAGCATAAGTTAGTGCGATATATCTGAATCAGATACGCAGCTCCTAGGATATGGAATTGATTCTAGTGGAATCCATAAGCTTGATTTAAAAATATCAGCAGTCACGCAAATTCTTTGGCCAAACAATGTCACAGAATTATAGTCTTTTTTAAGGATGGTAAATTTTTGTTCAAAATTCATTCGTAATCACGTGATGGTTCTCAGTCCACTCTATATGAATGTTGCTGTTGTAAACTCTAGGGCAATTATCTCTACCCGGGATGGTATTGGTGGCTCCTAGACCGAGCGCGAATTTAAATCATTTTACCCTTTGCGCCACCTCTTGAGCGTAACTACCTTTACTCGTTACGGTATTGGTAACCTCTAAGTCGTGGACGGGATACTATTTTGACACGTCGTGCTGGGTATTATTGACAAATCAGAGGCGCGCCGCGAACGAGTGCCTCGCACTACGGCTCGACAACCGCTTCAACTCGATTAAATTTAGCTACCTTTTAACCCCGCGTCCCACCTACGCGCCCACTGCAAATCCCGAGTTATTAAGCGCAAGCTTGGACTCGAATAATACGTTGCGCCGACGTAACAGGTGATTTAATAGTTTATAGACATAAAGCATCAAAATTGGTTTTGGAAAATGGTTGTTTGCTATGGGGTCATTGGCTAATTGTTCCAGAATCTTTGAGAGAATGCGTCCTCAAAGAAGTGCATCAGGTCTATATGGGCATTGTAAAAATGAAAGTGCTGGCCAGATCGTAAGTGTGGGGGCCAAGTATTGATGCTAATATCGAAAGTAGTGTAATTGAATGTGAACTTTGTGTGCGTCACGGTCATGATCCACCTAGTACTCCATATATGGGACTAGCCCAAGGCTCAAAATATTCGTATTCGTGCTGACTTTTTTGGTCCTATTAAAGGCAATATGTTTTTAATTATCACTGATGTGCTTTTTAAATAGTTTGGTGTAAACATAGGGAAAAACATAAATGCGACTTTGATTATTAATGCATTTAGGGATTATTTTGCGACTTAGTACTTACCGGTACAGGTAGAAACAGACAATGGTCCTGATTTCATTTCTGCAGAATCTTGTAATTTAAAAAAAATAGAATACAAACCATCGTTTCAATCCCCTGTATTATCCTGCAAGCAATGGAGCAGCCGAAAATGCAGTAAAACCGTTTAAATAAAAATTTGAGTTGTGTGTGTTAGGAAAAATAGATTTGCCTGATGTTCCTGCAAAATATTTGTTTGATTATCGTTCAACGCCTCACGTGACAACAGGAATTTCACAAGCTTAACTGCAAATAGGCAGAAAATTTCCAGTCAGATTAAATTTGCTTAAAATAAATATTTTTAATTTCGTTTACAAAAAGTAGAACGAACACAACCATTATTATCAAGGAAATATAATGATTGAGCTCAGTAGAGACAATTTGATAATGGCTAAAGATTTCAGAAATAAGGGCTTACATGAATAAAATAATTCAAAGAGGGACCAGAGTTTTCGGGTTATGAGAAGGAACAGTGCTAGGACCATCTAATGAGAACAAGTAGTCCTTCAAATCCCCAACTACCGAACCATTAAATAATAATGAAAATAAACTTGAAGTCACTTTATAAATCACACAGTTCAATTTTTTGTTCTCACTAATCAGATATAACTAGTACGTGCCCTAGGTTCAGCCCTATAAAAAAAGCAGCAGCAGGAACCGCCGGCTAGAGAGACCTGCAGGGCTTGGAGGCGGTGAATGTCAGCAAGGGCCTCTCGATGCCAAGTTCCACTGGAGCCAAACCCGCGTGAGGCCACGCTTAAAGTCGAGGGCACAACGCTGCAATAGCAGACCACTTGGTCCCACCAGAATAACGAAATGGTGGCATTGGTGATGGGTTTACTGGCTTGGCAAGCAATAACGAGTCATAACAACAACAACAGACTATGTCAGCCCACAGTGTAGCCAAGTGGACCACACACAGGCCATGATGGTTAGCAGCAGCAGAATGGAAACGTTGTGACTGCAAATTAAATAAATCTTTAAGTACAGAGCACGAGAGCTTGTTCTGAGAGTGCGTTTTCTTGGTTGTTCGTAAAGAAGCCAATATAGCCAACTTCCTCGTCTACTCATGGCCTCATTAAGTAATGAAAACTTACTACTCGCACCGTATCCGACTTGTTTAACTTTTTTCACAATTGTTAAATAAATTATCTCAGATCGACCTAAAGGTGGACTGTAGAATAGTGAGTCAGATGTTAATGAGAGAGAGAGAGAGAGAGAGAGAGTAGATGCTCAAGAGGAGAAGTCAGAGTATGAATAATATTTACTAAAACACTTTGACATGTGATAAAGTACAGAGTTATCGTGTTTACTGATACACAATTGAAAATATAACAGCACTTGGTATAACATAAGGCGTCAGATTCTGGGTGCTTGAACAAACAAGGAGATATTAAGAAGTGAGTTGGAAGCTCCTTAAAGTAAGAAAAAAGACACTTTGAATATTAATTTTGAGTCACGTGGGGAACACACTTAAAAAATAAAACGTGCTTTTAATGGCAACAATACGCTCGTTGTTTTAAAGATGCAAAGCTCATACCATGGATCAGCTTGTTTTTTCTCGTGTGATTGGTGCGGACTGACTACAACCGAAGCACAAAGGTTATACTGAGTGAGCTGGAGAGCATCGCGTGCGGCGATGAGTAGTTTTGCAGGGCCTTGGAGTTACGCTATTGGCCGCATAATTCGACATTACGTTTTAGCCTGCGAGTATGTAAAAGTTAAAAATCGTCTCGTGCGACTTAGCTTTTTGATGCTATACGTAAATTAAGTTTTTAGTTGTTTCAAATTGTGCTTTTTTTATATTGTTAAGCACAAATCGTTTTTGAGTGTATGGTTGTGCTTTCATTTCTATATTCTGGTTTTTTATCTTTGTTTTGTTTTAAGGTTTAGTTATAGTGACTTTATCTTTATTTAACTGGTCCAACAAAAACACTCTTGACTATGCTTTTAGTGTAAGTTGAAGATTTTGTCTTTATTTTAATCATAATCTTAGTTACTTAAATATCATTACCACGTATTTCTACGTAAGGCGTTTGTTGAAACAAAGTGAGGGGGAAAACAAGGACCACGTACTGATTAGATTTAAGGAACTGAATAAGAAAAGCAGATATTACATTACAACTATTATGATTTTTTGTATAAAAGAAAAACTTATGCTTTCAGGTGCGAAGATTTGATGAACGTAGAAAACAAATTGAATTTAAATATACCTACAGTTGAAGTCTCAGAAACTGAAGTATCACACACTTTACGCACTAATATGACTATTAACAACTCAAATTTTGAAGGTAATGATGAATTTCAATCCATTTTTGAAAAAATTTTATTTATTTTACATTTTTATTACATAAAAANGGTCTATCACCAAGTGACCTGAGTTGCTTACTAAACGCATTAAAAAATAATAAAATGTTAACTTATAACAGAGCTCATATCACTCACTAACCCAAGGCGCTTACTGGCTACATTACAAAATAATAAAATGTTACCTTATAACACAAGTGCCTATCTTTAAAGACCCGGGTTGCTTACTGGGCACATTATTCTGTTTGAAAAAAAATATTTTTAATTATTAGTTTGTTAAGTAAAAAAACGTATTGGTATGCAAATAATTGTTAACATTCAAGACAAACAACGAAACAAACCTTGAAAAAGTGTTTAAAAAAATGTTTGCTTTATATTTGTACCCAGTAGCACATTAGACTAAGCTTATATCTACCTCTACATAATGTGTTGGATTCTATATAATTGAGCTTTTCTTCAATTTTTTTTATTTTTATGTTGCTTAATGTAGACGCGACCACAGTAAATACCTTTTCATTGGAAAATTCGATTAGCTCTTAATGCAGCGTCTCTAGAAAACGTTTTATTTTAACTGTTAATTGATGAACGATACGAACTAAATACATGAGTAGAATGTTTTTATTCGCTCAAATTTATCAAAAATTCAAGATGCATTATAGCATTTGAATGAAAAGTAATGCACTAATTTACGGAAGAGATAATCAAAAATAGCTTATACTTAATCATGATTAATAATTGACAGATCTTGGAAGTTTGTGGTTAGGTGTTACGATCGAAGATGGGCCGCGAAACCAGCTACTTGCAAACCTGGTATACATTGAGACGTGATATTTAAATAACTTTCAGTGGAAATACGCATGTATTATAAATAATATAAGACATCTTTAAGTGATTTTCGTCTAATTGTTCTTTGATTACTATTATTATTGTAGATGGATACTTGTCATTATTTTAGAGTAACTCTTAATTAATGTAATTCATACTTGACTAATTGGATTAACGCTTTAATAAAAGCGAAAACAACTGGCAGTATTATACTAGCTATAGAATTGTTAAGCTACAAAATATATAGGGTTTCAATGCTGTTGTAAAAAACCACTAAGACGTAGGTGCTGTCCATATCTTTTATATTTCAACACTATCACGAGAGAGAAGTATGAAGTAGACTCTATTCAATGATGACTTTGTCTTTCAGTAAGTCTAGTGGTCTGAACAAATGTAAAATCAGTTAGGTTCTACTATTCTGTCTTTATAGTTACAGCAGCGTTGGCCGCGATGGTCGAACATTTGCTGCCAACAGCAACCTTCAAAGCGCTTCTTTATCAGCGCAACCACCAACGAAGCTGTAAACAAAAGCTGATGTATACATATGACGTATATAGATACCAGCGCCTATCACCCAAAGACTCAGAACCCCTGGCGCTTACTGGCCACTCTGTAGATTTTAATTAATAACCCAGAGGCCTATCACCAAGTGACCTAGAGCGCTTACTAGACACGTTAAAAAATAGTAAAATGTTAACTTATAAGTCAAGCTCCTATCACTCAATAAACCGAAGTGCTAACTGGCCACATTACAAAATAAAAAAATGTTACCTCATAACACAAGTGCCTATCACCTGGTAATCCAGGGCGCTTACTGGCCACATTATAAAATGATAATACGTTAACTCGCAATACAAGTGCCTATCATCAAATAACCCAGAGCGCTTACTGGCCACTCTATAAATTAAGAAAATATTAATTATTAACCCAAGGGTCTATCACCAAGTGACCTGAGTTGCTTACTAAACGCATTAAAAAATAATAAAATGTTAACTTATAACAGAGCTCATATCACTCACTAACCCAAGGCGCTCACTGGCTAGATTACAAAATAATAAAATGTTACCTTATAACACAAGTGCCTATCACCCAATGACCCGGGGCGCTTACTGCCCACTCTGTAAATTAATGAAATGTTAAAAAATAACCCAAGGGCCTATCACCAAGTCCCGGGGCGCTTACTGCCCACTCTGTAAATTAATGAAATGTTAAAAAATAACCCAAGGGCCTATCACCAAGTGACCCAGGTTGCTTACTGGACGCATTAACAAATGATAAAATGTAGACTTATAACACAAGCTCAAATCACTGAATAACCCAAGGCGCTTACTGGCTACATTACAAAATAATGAAATGTTACCTTATAACACAAGTGCCTATAACCCAGTGACCCGGGGCGCTTACTAGCCACATGATAAAATAATAATATGGTAACTCACAACACAAGAGCCTATCATCAGAAGACCCGAGCGCTTACTGGTTACTCTATAAATTAATAAAACGTTAACTCATAACAAAAGTGCCTATCATTAAATATCTCGGGGCGCTTACTGGCCACTCTATAAATTGATAAAATGTTAATTATTAACCCAAGGGCCTATCACCACGTGACCCGGGTTGCTTACTAAACGCATTAAAATAATAAAATGTTACCTTATAACACAAGCTTATATTACTCAATAACCTTAGGCGCTTACTTTCTACATTACCAAATGATAAAATTTCACCTTATAACACAAGTTTCTATCATGAAATGACTGAAGGCGCTTACTGGCCACACTATAAAATAATAATACGTTAACTTATGACACAAGTGCTTATCATCGAATGACCGGGGGCACTTACTGGCCACTATCTAAATTAATAAAATGTTAATTCATAACCCAAGGGCCAATAACCAAGTGATTGGGGGCGCTTGCTGGCCACATTACAAACTGATAATATGTTAACTCATAACACAAGTGCCTATCATCAAATGACCTGGGGCGCTTACTGGCCACTCTATAAATTAATAAAGTGGTAATCAATAATTCAAGCTCCTATTACTTCATAACCCAAGGCGCTTACCAGCTACTTTACATATTGATAAAATCTTACCTTAAAACACAAGTGCCTATCATCAAATGACCCTTGGCGCTTACTGGCCACATTATAAAATGATAATATGTTAACTCATAACACTAGTGATTATCATTAAATGACCTGGGGGGCTTACTAGCCACTCTTTAAATTAATATAATGTTTATTAATAACCCAAGGGCCTATCACCAAGTGACCCGGGTCGCTTACTAGAGGCATTAATAAATTACAGAATGTTGACTTATAACACAAGCTCTAATCACTTAATAACCCAAGGCGCTTTTTGGCTACATTACGAAATAATAAAATGTTACCTTATAACACAAGTGCCTATTACCCAATTACCCGGGGTGCTCACTGCCCACTCTGTAAATTAATAAAATGTTAATAAATAACCCAAGGGCCTATCACCAAGTGACCCAGGTTGCTTACTGGATGCATTAAAAAACGATAAAATGTAGACTTATAACACAAGCTTATATTACTCAATAACCTAAGGCGCTTACTGGCTACATTAAAAAATGATAAAATTTCACCTTATAACACTAGTTTCTATCATGAAATGACTCAAGGCGCTTACTGGCCACATTATAAAATATTAAGATGTTAACTTATAACACAAGTGCCTATCATTAAATGACGAGCGAAACTTACTGGCCACTATCTTAATTCATAGAATGTTAATTCATAACCCAAGGGCCCAAACCAAGTGATTGGGGGCGCTTGCTATCCACATTACAAAATGATAATATGTTAACTCAAAACACAAGTGCCTATTATCAAATGACCTGGGCCGCCTACTGGCCACTCTATGAATAAATGAAGTGGTAATCAATAATTCAAGCTCCTATTACTACATAACCCAGGCGCTTACTAGCTACATTACAAATCGATAAAATCTAACCTTAAAAGAGAAGTGCCTATCATCAAATGACCCTTGGAGCTTACTGGCCACATCATAAAATGATAATATGTTAACTCCTAACACTAGTGCCTATCATCAATATACCTGGGGGGCTTACTAGCCACTCTATAAACTAATATAATTTTAATTAATAACCCAAAAGCCTATTACCAAGTTACTCAGGTTGCTTACTAAACGCATTAAAAAATAATAAAATGTTTACTCATAACACAAGCTCATATCACTCAATAACCCTAGGCGCTTTTTGGCTACATTACAAAATAATAAAATGTTACCTTATAACACAAGTGCCTATCTTTAAAGACCCGGGTTGCTTACTGGGCACATTATAAAATGATGATAAGTTAACTTATAACACAAGTGCCCATTATTAATTATTCCGAGGCTCTTTTTGGCCACTCTATAAATTAATAAACTAAAAATTAATAAGCCGAAGGCTAATGACCAAGTGACCTAGAGCGCTTCCTGGCGACATTACAAAATAATAAAATGTTACCTCATAACACGAGTGCCTATCACCTAGTTACCTGAGTTGCTTACTGACCACATTATACAATGATAATATGTTAACTCTCAATACAAGTGACTGTCATCAAATGACCCATTTTGTTTACTGGCCACTCTATAAATTGATAAAATGGTAATTATTAACCCAAGGGCCTATCACCAAGTGACCCGGGTTGCTTACTAAACGCATTAAAATAATAAAATGTTACCTTATAACACAAGCTTATATTACGCAATAACCTTAGGCGCTTACTTTCTACATTACAAAATGATAAAATTTCACCTTATAACACAAGTTTCTATCATGAAATGACTGAAGGCTCTTACTGGCCACACTATAAAATAATAATATGTTAACTTATGACACAAGTGCTTGTTGTCATTTTGTTTACTGGCCACTCTATAAATTAATAAAAAATTGATAAATAACTCAAGCAACTATCACCAAGTGACCCCGAGTACTTACTGGACGCATCAAAAATTATATAATGTTGAGTTATAACACAAGCTCCTATTACTAAATAACCCAAGGCGCTTACTAGCTACATTACAAAGAGATACAATGTTACCTTTTAACACAAGTGCCTATTATTAAATGACCCCAGGCGCCGAATAGCCACATTATAAAATGATAATATTTTAACTCAT